CTGATTGGCTAATGTCGATTTCTTGTCAGTCATTTCATTGGTCGGTCAAAATTCGCGAAAGGTCGTTCTGACTTGACCCGTAATGGGTTGTCCTCAGATCTTTGTTTAGCGGTAGTGAAAACTAAGATCTGATTTTAATGAGATTGGGTACGATGACATGAATCAACCAAGTCAGAAGCCTCAACTGATCCTGTTGGTCTCTTCTTATGACAAGCTTGGGTTGAAGACCAATAAGTCTAACCTGAATCTTCAGCACGGTGGTTGTGTTTCTGTGGTGCCTAAACCTAGCTAAGGGGGAGACGTGACGTCACTTCTTTCTCATCTCTGGACCAAGGCTTGTATTGCCAAAGTCACATGGCCTTAGGAATTCCCTTTTTCTACGACTAGCCCAGAGGACTAGGGTGAACCTCATTTCACAGCATTTGTACTTAGTCCGGCTTGAACACATCTTCTGTCAGTTTTGTTCAGTTTCAGCAAAAGTGAAGCATTGTGAACTCCTTCAGAGTTATGGCCCTCATATGCTACTTGTCAGACTACCATCATTGCATGTTTGCTTTCCTCTCAATTTATTTGTCTTGGCTTGCGGACTGGTGGGAATTTCGAGGGATATATATTTATATATACCAATAATGAAGAATGACAAAGCTGTTTGGATTGTTTTGGATGGCTGATGAATGGATTAATGCATCTGACAGTAGTAAATGGCAATTACATGGATGAAATTTACACTGATTCTAGACGTATACATTGCATGGCAACAACACTATAGTGAGTGAGTGAGTGAGTGAGTGAGTTGGGTTTAACGCTGCTTTTAACAGTATTCCAGTTATATTGCGGCGTGTCACAAGCACAAACCTAGAATTAGAAACTTAATCGGGATACAATAAGAGATTGTTCTCCACACAGACACACACCCCTAAAGAAAAAAACATAATAAAACAAACCCTGCACAAACAGAAAGCCCCCTTCAAAACCAAACAAAAAACAACGTCAAATGGATGCTCTCTAAGGGATGGTATGAACAACATCAAACATTGTCCACCAAGTCACTGACACTGACCACCTGATCCATGTCGTCCACCCTCACAACCAGCATAGGTTGCTGGGCACCTCTTCTAACCTGAAATCCCGAGGGGGGTGACATTAAGGAAGACCACACCTTGGTGGTTGCAGAAATGCTCATGTCCACATTTCAGACAGGATGGTGTATATGTGTGTTACACAGACAAGCATTGCTTTAATGTTAGAGACAACAATAACAGCTGTCAACCGATCTCGAGGGCTATGTGGTGTGATGTACCCTGTGCGTGAGCCTATGTACCCCCAGCTGTCAGGCAAGGGGCTCATAGGCTCACACGCAGTTTACATCACACCACATACCATGCTGACAACTAATTTTTCTCACCGACATTCATATCTACAGGCCCAGAATATATGTCCGCAGTTTCACCTAGTAAAAACCTTTGATTCAGCCATTTTGTCAGCTAGAAGATGATGAAAACAAACCCGAGTTACTTTCCTTTACCAAATGCATATGGATAAACATTGGTTCATTTCAGCTCAACGATACTTATTCGAGATAAGCAAGTTACCTGAGTCGTGGTTTGATTGATTTCTTAGCAGGGTTCATGAAAAATAATCGCCCGCTCCTTCACCAATAAGAGGCAGTATTTTAAACATTCTCATTAAAATCAGATCTTAGTTCTGGCTACCGCTAAACAAAGATCTGAGGACATCCCATTACGGTTCACGACAGACCGACCTTGCGCGAACTTTGACCGACCAATGGAATGACCAATCAGAAGGCAGCTTTCTCATGCTTTACGGCACTAATTTCACATTGGCGACTACGCCTCGAAACATATTTTGACAAATTCTCGATTACAAATTTGAAACCTGAACAAAAGAACATTCTGGAATGGCTAATAGATGGTCTAGTTTTTTATGGATGCAGTCGTTAAACCCGTAACTATCGTTTGGAGTAAAAGCTTTCGAGGCTGCATGATCAGAAATCACATTCCGACTGTCACTTTCATAATCTGGTAAGTGATGCTCTGATTGGTCGGATGAAAGGTTGTTCTGACCTGACCCGTAATGGGATGTCCTCAGATCTTTGTTTAGCGGTAGCGAGAACTGAGGTCTGATTTTAACGAGATTGTATTTTAAATTAAGGTCAGATAACGGCACTTTTTTGTTGCTTCCAGATATTCAGCCCTGGGTCAGCAATGGTGTAGACAGTGGAGCTGAATACACTGAACCCAGCCAGAGCATGTATCAGAAAACAGGCCAGGCACATGGGATGCCGCGCAATAGACGGGCCAGAAACCTCCCTAAACCTATAGGAGGGAAGTTCCCATGCCCAGAGTGTGACAAAATGTTCTCCAGTGCTGGGTCCCGCCACAATCACGTGGGAGCCATTCACGATAGGCTCATCTATGCATGTATCTGTGGAAAACAGTACAACTATAGACAAACGCTGATCCAGCACAAGAAGACTTGCCCCCTGTGGAATTTATCCAAGTGATAATTATTCAAGCATTGAGTTATGTTTGTGTGGAATAGAAATTGGTGTGGAATCAGGGTTCTTGATGTCACCAAAGAAAATCTTTTTTGATGACTGGCATGCTATTGTACATGATTTGCTGGTAGATTTGATCCCTGGATGCCGAGTTATTTTTCGGATGCACATTTTCACAAGATCTCAAAAGTGAACGTTGTTCGGGAAGAGTGTCTGTCACATGATGGTAGGCTCATGACATACACTTAGAACAGCAGAAAACTTTGCGGCCATCTTTGTGTCTTTGTTGCTGCCATGTCTTTTGCTTTCCGAGGATGGAGTATTCCAGAATTTCCGTTCACTGATTTCGATTTCGGTGAAATGTAACTTGGATAGAGACCATCAGATGCTGTGGATTCTTGGAACCAGCATAAATATTATTTTCATAACATTAAAATATGAATATATCAGCAAGAGTTTCATAATGTGTTATCATACCTCCACGTCAGAATGATGAAATCTGATTGGTCTGCTTGATCTTGATAAAACACTGTGTAAACCCGCCTTGGAGGGTAATAAATTTCTCATCGGGGGAATAAATCTCTTATACCCCGCCACGAGCATTTCCGAGAGACAGAATAAATCCTTAATACCTGCTTCAAAGCAAAAATGGATGTCACATGACATAGCGCAAGCTATAACCTCAACTCAGTCAAACAGCTGTTTCTATCAATTTTGAATTTATTTGAACTATTTTACAATGTCATATTAATACATATCGGTATTATAAATTTGTTGTAGTAGGATCACTAGGGGCACATGGGGTTTTATGCATCCCTTGTTAGGTATAGAGAACACCTCCGTGGTGTAGTGGTAGAGCGTCCGCCCGGAGAGCGGAAGGTCCGGGGTTCGATCCCCGGCCTCGTCATACCAAAAGACGTTAAAAGATGGTACTTGTTGTTACCCTGTCTGGCGCTCGGCATTAAGGGGCTAAAACAAGGACTGGTCGGCTCGGAGTCGGTATACTGTGTCTGAGTGGGGTATTCATGTTAAACTGCGGCATGGTATCTCAGTGGGCTAGCACTATAAATCAGCATCAGTCCAGACTAGTACAAGCAGCCACACAAACACACACATACACTTGCATGCAGGTCGCTATATAAGTGCAATAATCTTGGATGCGACATTAATCCCCATTTCACCTCACCACTTTTATAGTGCCATGGCATATGACTCAAGGTTAACTGTTTATCACAAAAGATTTAGCGGATCAGTGTACTAATTTGATCAGGACTTTTGTTCATTTGTCAGCACCATGCCAACCCCATTTCACCTCACCTCACCTTGTTAGGTATAGAACCTAACTTGGACGCATAAAACCCCATGTACCTACCCCAAGTGATCCTGCTACAACTGATGTTGTCATTTCCATACTGAACGTGAGAGTATCAAACACTATGTGTTTCTATTTATGACTTGGTTATGCGCTCTGGAATCATTTCAGCCATAAGACTTGGTGTAAACCCGCCTTGTAGTAGGATCACTATGTATAAGAGTAGGATATCGCATTGTATACCACATGACAGACATATCCAAGCAGATTCTATTCTCATCAAAAACACGGAAAGTCGAAAGTGATAAGAAGAAAAAGGTCTGTTTTTGTGTTTAATGGAATTTTATTCATTACGTGTTTTGACGTCGTGAAAGTAGTCAGGACGGATTTTTCTAGTTACTCCCAGTCTCATGATTTATGTGACTGTTCCACGACCTGCATTGTCTTACCCTCTCACTACAAGGAGTATCTCTCCTTGATGGACGAGGAAATCCCAAAGTGATGCAGGTCTCGGATGTTTACCGCTTCAGTGAAATCAACGAGCACGGGTATGGTGCTGACAAACCTAGAAACATTATCGAGGTGAATCGGAATTCGTACCCACAATCATAGGTTTCTGGCGTGCCCAAGGGACGCAACTCTGCACAACGAATTGCCACCCGTGCCCCCTTGGTGTGACAAGCAGTTGCTTCAAGTACTTGGCTACCCACCACCCTACTATTTACTACTAAAATGATCCACACTCCCTCACTGCATGTAGGGTATTCTCTAAATATTACCCATGCTTGCCGTGAAAGGCGACTATGCTTGTCGTACGAGGCGACTAACGGGATCGGTTACTCAGGCTCGCTGACTTGGTTGAAGCATGTCATCGAACCCATTTGCGTGGATCGATGCTCATGATATCAATCACTGGATTGTCTGGTCCAGACTTGATTATTTACAGACCACCGTCATATAGCTGGAATATTGCAGCGTTAAACAACAAACAAACAAACTAACAAACAAATCTGTAAATATTACATCATTCAATTCACATCACACCCACTCAGATAGTCTTAGAAAATATTCCACTAACTGTTGAGTCAGCTGAATGCAGAACCTACTAACACCAAAAATCAATATAACCAACGCTAGAGTATCTGTAACACAATGTTTTGTTATTTTCAGATATTCATGATATGGCTGGAGCAAGTTTATCAGTTGGCTATTCCCTTGAAGAGCTCGGTATCCCAGTTCTCCCTGTAGGACAAGGTGCTCAGCGGGGTACTGAACCTCCAGCTATACCTTCATCCAAAAAACATTCTTGTCCCTATTGCCCAAAGATGTTTGCAAGTCGTGGTGCTCGCTGGTATCACATCAAGGCCATACACGAACTCTCTCAATATATTTGTGTGTGTGGAAAGCAGTATCGGTATAGCAATTCCTTGGCTAATCACAAAAAGCTGTGCACTGTGGCAAATTCTTAGTCTTTCTTGTGCCTTGTGGATTCTTGGGAGAGAGTTGAGTATCTTTTGAAGGACAGCACAGTTGTATTCTACGCACGCAAGATGCAAGAATTTATGAACAAAATATGTTGTAATAAGTTCTTGGTAATCTTTGTTGAGCCTTTTGGATTCTTGGGAACAGAGTTGTGTGAGTCTTTTGAAGTGAAGTACAACACGATCATGTGGTTCTTGAACATTATTGCTGTGGATTCAAGGTTACCTTTGGACCTATTTCAAGGACCCCTTAAACACAATGCAATACTTGAACTGGCATCTTTTGTTATTTTCAGATATTCATGGTTTGGGCATCTCTTTTGGACTGAGTCCTCCGGGGGTTGAGAGTATTGGTCAGAGGACAAGTGTTTCTTACGAAGGGCAGATCTGTGGCGCGGTTCGCAACAGTCGGGGCCGGGTTTACCCAGATCCCGTTGGTGGAAACTATCCGTGTCCAGACTGTGACAAGATGTTTGCCAGTGATGGCTCCCGCTGGAACCATGTTGCTGCCATTCATGACAAACTCAGTTTTACAAGTCTGTGTGGGAAGACTTTCAATTATCGACATAATTTAGCCCGGCATAAGAAAACTTGTCCCATATGTATGGAGATGGGATTTCATCATCAACCAAGATGAAGAAGCATTTGAAAAATATCGACTAGATTCGTGTATTGGGTGCAACGTCAGTATTTGTGTTGAGAGTTAGGACTGAGTGAATGTTGTTTCAGTCACCAATATTCCTGGAAATCATGATTATCCCGTCGGGATTCCGGGGGTTAGAACATGTCCATTGAAACCTATGCTGGTCCACCTTGTGCGGATTCTGGGGGTTAGAACATGTCCACAGAAACCTGTGCTGGTCCACCCTGTGGGGATCGGGGGCTTAGAATATGTCCACAGAAACCAATGCTGGTCCACCCAGTGGTTATCGGGGGGTGAGAACATATCCACAGAAACCTATGCTTGTCCACCCTGTGGGGATTCCGGGGACTAGAACATATCCACAGAAACCTGTGCTGGTCCACCCTGTGGGGATTCCGGGGGGTTAGAACATGTCCACAGAAACCTGTGCTGGTCCACCCTGTGGGGATTCCGGGGGGTTAGAACATGTCCACAGAAACATGTGCTGGTCCACCCTGTGGGGATTCCGGGGGGTTGGAACATGTCCACAGAAACCTGTGCTGGTCCACCCTGTGGGGATTCTTGGGGGTTAGAACATGTCCACAGAAACCTATGCTTGTCCACCCTGTGGGGATTCCGGGGACTAGAACATGTCCACAGAAACCTGTGCTGGTCCACCCAGTGGTTATCGGGGGGTTAGAACATATCCACAGAAACCTATGCTTGTCCACCCTGTGGGGATTCCGGGGACTAGAACATATCCACAGAAACATGTGCTGGTCCACCCTCAGGGGATTCCGGGGGGTTAGAACATGTCCACAGAAACCTATGCTTGTCCACCCTGTGGGGATTCCGGGGACTAGAACATATCCACAGAAACCTGTGCTGGTCCACCCTGTGGGGATTCCGGGGGGTTAGAACATGTCCACAGAAACCTGTGCTGGTCCACCCTGTGGGGATTCCGGGGGGTTAGAACATATCCACAGAAACCTGTGCTGGTCCACCCTGTGGGGATTCCGGGGGGTTAGAACATGTCCACAGAAACCTGTGCTGGTCCACCCTGTGGGGATTCTTGGGGGTTAGAACATGTCCACAGAAACATGTGCTGGTCCACCCCGTGGTGTTTTTTATAGAATGGAGAATACGCTGGACAATCGAGGCTGAGGCAAATTAATAGTAGAACAATTTCCCCGATAATATTCTGTCTCCTGCTTTGTTTTTCATATGTTCTATTTTGATAATTTCACTTTTTGATAATGAGAAAAACAATGGATGAAAAGTTCAAAATGTAGTTATAATTGTTTTCAGAATCAAATCAAACAGATAAGCATATATATTTTTTTTTTTAGAGCTTTGAACCTGTTTATGATTGATAAGGTTATTCGTTCAGCTGGGATGAGCTGAGGTGAAGAGATTTGTGTGATGAACAGCTTTCCTCCCACATGAAGATCTACACATCTTGATATAAGGGAAATACCGTTCAGACTCACATAAAACTACGCCAAAAGTGACTGTATTTGTTCATGTTATTTCAGCAGATGTTTTAGGATTTGACAGGATTATGGCTTTGATACTCTTGTGAGCATTATATGATCTGTCACTCAACCTGATAATAGGATCAAGGACAGGGTCGGATTAGGTCCTTCTTGTCCAACAGAACCTGCATACCGTATTCAACGTAATAAGCGCCCACGGCGATATTTACTAATATATTGGCAAGTGAACAATCCCAATTAGCACCCCTTCCGATTGATCAATGTACATAAGTTTTAAATTTATTTGTGTATAATACTCACTTGTGTGTTATATGCCCCCTTAATTATGGGCAATTAAATTCTGGAAAAATATATCTGTATATAAACATTTCAGACTGTCAGCATAAACAAGGAAATCTTTCAACTCACCAAAATAATATTCAAATAAGAGACCCCTATTTCTAATTTTGAGAGCGCCCTTGGCGCTTATTATGTTGAATACAGTAATTTAAGAATTGAGGCAAAGTTGTGGAAATGGGTATACAAGTTATCAGTTGTTTCCACGTGAATGAGAACTGGACTTTGTGTATTTCAACGACTGCATGTGTAGACCTCGCAATAACCCTTATTGCATATGTAAGGATAAAATGTGTCAAAAAGGCAAAGTGTTTTCTAAAATTGGGTCATACTTAGATTTTCATTTGAAGATAGAAATATTGGCCTTTTTCACTCATTTCTCACATATGTGTGTATTTGATCACACCAGAAGTACAATACGTGCATGTATAGAAGGAAAAAAAGTAGATGTCAGCCATTTGTAAATGTCTGATAAGTTTCGTACCACCATTTCAAAGTTTTCTGCAAATTTAACATTTTCATTGGGCAAAAAGGGCCTTCATCCTTGCTCATCCTTTGTTCTGTTTGAGTGAGTGAGTGAGTGAGTGAGTGAGTTTGGTTTTACGCCGCTTTTAGCAATATTCCAGCAATATCACGGCGGGGGACACCAGAAATGGGCTTCACACATTGTACCCATGTCGGGATGTCGGGTTTGAATAGACAAGTCACACACAAGCTGGATTTACAATCAAACATTTCGCAACTGTTGCAGGGAAATATGTTTCCGTGGCAGGCTTGATGTCTTCACTGAATTTGTCCAAAACGAGATTTTATATTTGTTTTGTTATACATGACTGGCAATGATCATTTTGTAAGATTTCGTACTGTAAGCTCAATAAATGTTTAAAGCAAAATGATATTATCTGTTGTCATTATGATTCTAGTGAAGTGATTCCTGATCACTTAGTAGGAAGCGATACTTGCTACTTTTATTGTATGTGCGCTGGTGCATGCTTCATTCTGATTCCCTTTATAGACAGGGTATATTAATCAGCATCGATTTTGAAGGGTTGAACAGGGGGGTCGCCTTATATGTGGGTCACTTTATAGATGGCGATATACGGTATATCAGAGCTCCAGAAAACTTTTTGAGTTAGGGTTTCGATTTTAATTGGGTTATTACATTTTTCATTGGGTAACCAATATTTTTTCCCACATCTATTTATCACTGTACGTTTTTGCCCCAAATTAGGGAACATTTTAAGATTTGAAAAAATATGAAATAATGTTTTCGATGTATATACTGTTCTAAATATATAGGTTTGACCCGGAAAGTAAACAAGCTTGTAGTTGTGTCTCAGAAATTAACTCCTTTGTATGCATGCTGAACACGCTTCATTGGGTATTTTACGCGTGCTGTTTTTATACATTTGAGTTTTTCATTTAATGCATGCGTTTCTGTACACAAGTTTATTGAAAAAATTGGGTTTTGAATATTTTCTTTTTGGGGGAGGGGGTTATTTTACACAAATACGCTGCTTATCTGTAGCTCTGGTATATAAATACAAGCTACATCACTTCAGATACTCAAACTTAAATCAGTATTATGTAAACAACAATAATAGATTTGGCACAAGATGAAACGTCAACACCAGAGAACAACCATCTGCTGCAACAGACTCCGTGGGGCACAAAAGCCAAAATAGGGGTGGAAATTACATGAATGGATCACTGAAAAACAGTGATGACACCAGGGCCCACTTGCACAAAGCGATCTTAGCGCTAAGACTATTGTAAGCCTATGTTAAAGTATGGGAGTTACGATCATCTTAGCGCTAAGATCGCTTTGTGCAAGAGGGCCCTGGTGTCTGTGTAAGGGTAAGCTTGTCCTGCTGCACACAGGTAGCACCGCCACTCACACAATTGGCATAAAAAAGTAAATGTTAATTTTAGACATGGAGAGGCAGAGTTGGGACCTCAGCTTCCAGGGTTTGGATGATGTGGGTTTAATCCTAGATTTGCCTGACGTGTGGTTTGTATGTACCAAGCCAAACTATTGTGTGAGGTCTTACCAAAGTTATCTCACTTTGTGCATTACGCTTACTTCCCCATATTACATCCCCATATTACATCCCCAGTATTACATCCCCATGTTACAGCCCCATATTATATACCCCATATTACATCCCCATATTACTTCCCACATATTACATCCCCATATTACATCCCCCATATTACATCCCCCATATTACATCCCCATATTACATCCCCCATATTACATCCCCATATTACATCCCCCATATTACATCCCCCATATTACATCCCCATATTACATCCCCATTTTACATCCCCCATATTACATCCCCCATATTACATCCCCATATTACATCCCCCATATAACATCCCCCATATAACATCTCCATATTACATCCCCATATTACATCCCCCATATTACATCCCCCTATTACATCCCCCATATTACATCTCCATATTACATCCCCCATATTACATCCCCATAGTACTTCCCCATATTACATCCCCATAGTACTTCCCCATATTACATCCCCATATTACATTCCCCATATTACATCCCCATATTACATCACTATATGACTTCCCCATATTACATCCCCATAGTACTTCCCCATATTACATCCCCATATTACATCCCCATAGTACCTCCCCATATTACATTCCCCACATTACATCCCCATATTACATCACTATATGACTTCCCCATATTACATCCCCATATTACAACCCCATAGTACTTCCCAATATTACATCCCCATATTACATTCCCCATATTACATCCCCCATATTACTTACCCATATTACATCACTATATGACTTCCCCATATGACTTCCCAATATTACATCCCCATATTACATCCCCATATTACATTCACCATATTACATCCCCCATATTACATCCCCATATTACATCCCCCATATTACATTCCCCATATTACATCCCCATATTACATCCCCATATTACATTCCCCATATTACATCCCCATCGAAAAACTGTTCAAAGTTTGATGAAACAAAGCGTACCTTACTCTTTTATTTATCAAGGAACATTCAATCCATCAATATGATCCATGTCAACAGTGAGCTTGATGGCTTCAATCCATCAATATGATCCATGTCAACAGTGAAGTGGACAGCTGCAATCCATCAATATGATCCATGTCAACAGTGAAGTGGACAGCTGCAATCCATCAATATGATCCATGTCAACAGTGAAGTGGATTGCTTCAATCCATCAATATGATCCATGTCAACAGTGAAGTGGATTGCTTCAATCCATCAATATGATCAATGTCAACAGTGAAGTGGATTGCTTCAATCCATCAATATGATCCATGTCAACAGTGAAGTGGATTGCTTCAATCCATCAATATGATCCATGTCAACAGTGAAGTGGACAGCTGCAATCCATCAATATGATCCATGTCAACTGTGAAGTGGATTGCTTCAATCCATCAATATGATCCATGTCAACAGTGAAGTGGATTGCTTCAATCCATCAATATGATCCATGTCAACAGTGAAGTGGACAGCTTCAATCCATCAATATGATCCATGTCAACAGTGAAGTGGATTGCTTCAATCCATCAATATGATCCATGTCAACAGTGAAGTTGACGGCTTCAGTCCATCAATATGATCCATGTCAACAGTGAAGTGGACAGCTGCAATCCATAAATATGATCCATGTCAACAGTGAAGTGGACAGCTGCAATCCATAAATATGATCCATGTCAACAGTGAAGTGGACAGCTGCAATCCATAAATTTGATCCATGTCAACAGTGAAGTGGATGGCTGCAATCCATAAATATGATCCATGTCAACAGTGAAGTGGACAGCTGCAATCCATAATTATGATCCATGTCAACAGTGAAGTGGACAGCTGCAATCCATAAATATGATCCATGTCAACAGTGAAGTGGACAGCTGCAATCCATAAATATGATCCATGTCAACAGTGAAGTGGACAGCTGCAATCCATAAATATGATCCATGTCAACAGTGAAGTGGACAGCTTCAGTCCATCAATATGATCCATGTCAACAGTGAAGTGGATTGCTTCAATCCATAAATATGATCCATGTCAACAGTGAAGTGGACGGCTGCAATCAATTAATATGATCCATGTCAACAGTGAAGTGGATGGCTTCAATCCATCTATATGATCCATGTCAACAGTGAAGTGGATATCAATCAATATTGTTTAATATACATATATTTTGATAAATCATAGTTTTTTAATCCAGCATGAATTATGCTCATGCAATAAATCACTGATTGCAATCTTATTAGATTTCAGTCGTGTAATATTATAGATGGGATGTTAGGCATTGTGTAATAGCAGGTAGCATGGCTCCTTGATTGATTGTTTAATTCAGGTTTTGAAGTTAGTACATGCAGTTGGTAGGATGAAGGGCCTATTGGGCACATCTCCCCAAGGCAAGGGAGCTAACTGACTATAAAAGTCCAGTTTCAATCCTTGCCGAACTAGGCTGGAATTATGGAGTTATATTTTGGCTGGACTTATGTCTATGCATAGTCCAATCATTTTGTTTGAAGCAAATGCATGTGATATGAGAGGTGGAATCTGATTGGTCAATAGGAGGGACATAGAAGGGACATAACTCTTGTAGCGCTACGAGCCCAGAAATTCTAGCCTAGTTTGGCAAAGGTGGAATCTGGACTTTTACAGTCAGTTAACTCCCTTGCCTCGGGAAGATGCAAGCTCCTCACAGCGATATCCTGTTTGCTGAACTCTCTGATACTATTGCCACCACCAGTCAAAACTCCCAACAGGGATAGATGACCACAACCATGCTTGGAGCCGAATGACCGTTATGTTTACAAACAAGTGACGACTGTCGTGAAGCCGAATACACTTACCCCTGCTTAATTACTTTCTTTCTTGGTCAATTTGAATTTCTATTTCATTACAACTATCATGTAATTTATATAGTAAGGATGTAAGGGAGAAGTTGGTTGATTTTCTGTTAGTCTGTAATCTCAAACCAATCTGATTATACAAACAACAAAATAAAATCATCTGAAAAACAAGGTCAGTCATACACCTTTTCAAAATGAACTATGATGGCATTCCCAAAGACATAAACAAACATATGAACGTTACTACATTTGGAGTTAGAGGGTGAATTTCAAGGTTCTTGTAATGGCCGCACCCACACTGGTGGCAGCGATGTTACTGAGAGTGTAACGAAGGTGACACGCGCAGGGAAGGAGTTTGGGGAAGATGTATTAGGCAAGACAGCTTCAAAGCTTTAAGACTTGTAGTTTTATATGACATTGAATATGCTGAGCATTTCCACACAGTTTCTTTTTGCATATCAGTTTTTCTGAACATGACTTCAATTTGTATCAATTATTATTTTCTTCAGTTATTTTATTCAATTATTTTTATATAATATGGTATCCACTGCTGAACAAACACACTTTACAGAGCACATCCAACTGAGAAACAGCTAATATATGTGGCTTCTATTGGCGGCTGAAACATGGTATTCTACATAATTGAACATTTGTTGACATCTTTGTTAAGATCACAAGATCCCGAAAATACAATTGTCCTATGGGCAAGTGGCCTTTCGGTGTGGAATAAAACTTATTCGTATCAAACACAAGATCTATGAAGTATATGATTCTCAACATTCATTTAGTAAATGTGACAGTCCACATAAAAAACAACACTGTTTTACTTTCAGACACGGACCACACGAAGATCAAAAGAGTGAAGCCTTTGTCTGAGTATACATGGACGACTCCTGACTTGCCCTTTGTCCTTGTTCCAACACCTTCCATTGACACTTCGGAGGCGTTGACGAGAACGCAGCAGGGCTCGGCCAGTAGGCTGTATCAGTGTGAGGAATGTGGCAAGACCTTCACTCAATCCTGGACCAAGAAGAATCATGTACAATCTGTCCATCGTAACATGACCTTCCTGTGTGTTTGTGGGAAGGTCTATCGATATCGCAGGGCCCTGAGGAGACATATGAAAGCTGAAGGATGTGGTCACAAAGTTTGAGGGGAACACGACTGGTCCTGTGGTTTAAGGTGCCACAATCAACTTTCAGAGTTGCTTCCCTTAGGCGTGCAAGTATCCTATGATCGTGGGTTCCTGATTGTTTCCAGGTTTGTCAGCACCATGCCTGTGCGCCTGGATTTTACCAAAGGGGTAGATATCTGAGACCTGCATCACTTCAGGCTTTACTCCCACATCAAAGGGGCGGTCGAGTAGCTTAGTGGTAAAAGCGTTCACTCGTCACGCCCGAGACCCAGGTTCGATTCCCAACATGGGTACAAGGTGTGAAGCCCATTTCTGGTGTCCCCCACTGTGATATTGCTGGAATATTGCTAAAAGCGGCGCAAAATCACTCCTACATCAAACTGACATGCTGTGATATAACTAGAATACTGTTCACAGAGGAGTAACTCATTTGCTTATTGTTTCAAGTGACTGTGGGTCTGTTTATGTTTCTTGTTGTATTGTTGGAACCCTGAACATGAGATTGAAAAGATTGTTAACGCCATAGGATGAATATCATTACATTTGAAAGTGTAGCAAAAATGTTCAATCAAAGCCAAAGGTGAAATTGACATGGACAAGCAATGTTGGAGAGAAACAGGGGATATTAAAGCTGATTAGATTTTAGTGGGTGTTTTGTTTTGTTTAAAAATAATACTGAAATATAGATGTGAACAGGGATGTTAGACCCGTGAAGATCCGGGGTAGAATAGGTCTTCAGCAACCCATGCTTGGCGTAAAAGATGACTATGCTTGTCGTAAGAGGCGACTAACGGGATCAGTTGGTCAGGCTCGCTGACTTGGTAGATGCATGTCATCGATCCCAAATCCGTGGATCAATGTTTATGATGTCAGTCAATGGATTGTCTGGTCCAGACTCGATTATTTACAGACTGTCATCATATAGCTGGAATACTCTGAGTGCGGTGTTAAACAACAAACAAACAAACAAACATAGGTGTTGGGCTCCAAGAAACCCCTTCTTACTGCATTATCAAGGTTAACATACATGGATAACCTTTTGTCAGTTCATAATCTGAAATGTTATCCGCAATGGTGACCACGCTGTCAGCCTCATCACTAACGTTGATGTCATGTGGGCCAGGGCTTGGTTTAGTCTGTCCCCAGACCCTTGAGAATAAATTAAAAAAGGAGTCCAACTTAAGTTTTGAATAATTGGGCTAACTAAGATTGCCTCAGCTCTAGGTCTGAATGTAAGCGTTGTTCAGGGTTCCATTTGAATTTTATTTTTTATATTTTGTAGATATATATTTTTCAATAAGATAACTTTAATTCTGGGACAAAACAATTCTTTCTGTCGATGGAGAGATGCACCATGGTACAACTTATTGCTGCAACATTTGTAAGACCACTCAATCGCATTATGTGATATGGAGGAACTTCATTGTGGGCCAGGGTTGCTATCAGTGTTTTCTTTGAACTGTGATTGGTCTTCCTCCCTGTATTATTGACTTCTGTACAGATGCTCTTCCCCATTGAACAATTCGTGGCTTGTTGCTGTCACGTTCCCTTGAAGGTAGAATTTGGCATCTGATACTTTCATTTCTGTTGGTCCTGTTGGTCTGTTGGTCCTGTTAGTCTGTTGGTCCTGTTGGTCTGTTGATCCTGTTGGTCTGTTGGTCCTGTTAGTCTGTTGGTCCTGTTGGTCTGTTGGTCCTGTTGGTCTGTTGATCCTGTTGGTCTGTTGGTCCTGTTGGTCTGTTGGTCCTGTTAGTCTGTTGGTCCTGTTGGTCTGTTGGTCCTGTTGGTCTGTTGGTCCTGTTGGTCCTGTTGGTCCTGTTGGTCTGTTGGTCCTGTTGGTCTGTTGATCCTGTTGGTCTGTTGGTCCTGTTGGTCTGTTGGTCCTGTTGGTCCTGTTGGTCTGTTGATCCTGTTGGTCTGTTGATCCTGTTGGTCTGTTGGTCTGTTGGTCTGTTGGTCTGATGGTCCTGTTGGTCCTGTTGGTCTGTTGATCCTGTTGGTCTGTTGATCCTGTTGGTCTGTTGGTCTGATGGTCCTGTTGGTCTGTTGGTCTGATGGTCTGATGGTCCTGTTGGTCCTGTTGGTCTGTTGGTCCTGTTGGTCTGTTGGTCCTGTTGGTCTGTTGGTCTGATGGTCTGATGGTCCTGTTGGTCCTGTTGGTCTGTTGGTCCTGTTGGTCTGTTGATCCTCTCCCCCGGTACCCCCCTACACAGACTTACAGGACATTGAGGGATTCCTGCTGAGGAAACAAAACATTTAACTGATCTTCATTCAAAGATACTGTATATTCATACATGACATCAAAAAGAAAAGAAACTGTATACATATGATACAATTTTGTGTTGTTTTTTAAGAAACAATTTGGTTTATATAATAGGAATGTATTTACATGGTACAGCAGACATTTTTGGCGGGAATTCTTTGTGTTACTGGTCCTTGACTTTGTTGCCTGGAGGCAATCTTTCCTTTCTGGGGCTGTATTAGTTCCACATCTTCCCAATGACCTTCACAGCCCTCATTCTGAAATGAAGACATTTGTCCACTAATCTTACCTGAGACCGCCTCCGTGGTCTAGTGGTAGAGCGTCCACCCGGAGAGCGGAAGGTCCGGGGTTCGATCTCCAGCCGCGTCATACCAAAAGACGTTAAAAGATTGTACTTGTTGTTACCCTGTCTGGCGCTCGGCATTAAGGGGCTAAAACAAGGACTGGTCGGCTCGGAGTCAGTATACTGTGTCTGAGTGGTGTATTCATGTTAAACTGCGGCATGGTATCTCAGTGGGCTAGCACTATAAATCGGCATCAGTCCGGACTAGTACAAGCAGCCATACACACACATACATGTGCATGCACGTCGCTATATAAGTGCAATAATCTTGGACGCGACGTTAAACCCAATTTCACCTCACCTAATCTTACCTGACCCAAATATTTTTTGCAAACATTGTGTCAATTTCTTTGAGTAGAAGGTTCTGCCTTCTGTAATATCTTTTCCCTAGACCCTGAGACTTGAAATCGTTTCGTCAAGCATGCCTGTTTCGTCTAGCAAATATTACATCCCTGTGGTGTTTGAAGTCTTCGGCGTTTAGGTTGCCGACATCTTTTTCTTTCGAGAAGCGCGCAGAACTATTTTGCATTCATTATAGAAATTCAGCTCATAGTTACCTCTGTCCGCTATTTTTCACTGTCATGAAAATTTGAGCCAAGTTTAAATCAATATTTCTGCCATCATTGATTTGTAGTAGTTTCACGTCTCTTTCAGTCTTCCTTTTAGTGTTTCAGTTTTTCATACTTTCAATTTATTTTCCTGTATCATACTGTGAATGGAAGTTTTCTATGTTTTTTGTCCATGATCCTATTACAAAGGGATGCTAGTGTCCACACAACTGATATCAGTTGTATCGATGCCACTAATGTGACGTTATTTAAATATATGACGTCATTCTGTTGTTACGTCACAAACGTTCCATGACATTACACACAACATTCTGCAGCCAGATATGGGTTACATGGTTGGGGTCTGTTATGGACAGACTAATTTAGCTAGTAACGATGTGGAGTGAGTGAGTGAGTGAGTTTGGTTTAACGCCGCTTTTAGCAATATTCCAGCAATATCACGGCGGGGGACACCAGTAACGATGTGGAACAATCGTACATTGCAGGACAGATACATAGTGTATTAAGTGATGACAGTGGATGTTGTTTGGAGAAATGCTTCGTTTGAAGACAATATTTGCTTTAATTAAATACTTTCAATGCTCCATTTTGTCACAGATGCTAGTACCCTCAGCAAACAAGGTGCCAGCATCTGTACCATAAAAGACCGCCTCCGTGGTCTAGTGGTAGAGCATCCGCCCGGAGAGTGGAAGGTCCGGGGTTCGATTCCCGGCTGTGTCATACCAAAAGACGTTAAAAGATGGTACTTGTTGTTACCCTGTCTGGCACTCGGCATTAAGGGGCTAAAACAAGGACTGGTCGGCTCGGAGTCAGTTTACTGTGTCTGAGTGGGGTATTCATGTTAAACGGCAGCATGGTATCTCAGTGTGCTAGCGCTATAAATCGGCATCAGTCTGCACTAGTACAAGCAATCACACACAGAGACACACACACACACAGACACACACACACACATGTGCATGTGCATGCACGTCACGAAACATATGATATGCAAAAATGAGCTCAGACCATAGAAAACAAATTCCCTGCAATAACACACTAGGTTAATGGATCTTCCATTGGAGGAAACCTATGTGATACCTACAATTGTCAAATGGTAAATTGAGCCTTTCTGGTGAATGTGTGTAGACATTAGCCTTGTGTCCACCCTTTACAGAGGGAAGTATAACATGCACCTAACCTTAATGTGGCTGTCCATATTCTGGCATTTGCTTTTAGTTTATTTTTCAGCTTTATCAATTTGCCAAATGTACCGGTAGAACAAATAATTATGTTAAGAAACTGTTTGCACTTATCTTTCTCTTGTATCTCAAAGCATTAAATACTTATTTTTATCATATTCGTGTTTCTTTCTTGAACAAGATAGTTCACCAAAGTAGTAAATGTACATGTAGGAGACTTCTGGTTTTCCTCCTGCATGAAGCGCCCAGGTCGCTCTCAAAATTAGAAATAGGGGGCTCTTATTAGAATAAAATGTTGGTGAAAAAAGATCATAAATTTCACGAATAAATAAGTCTTGTGTACATTGATCAATTGGAAGGGGTGCTAATTGGGATTGTTCACTAGCCAATATATCAGCAAATATCACCGTGGGCACTTATTAGAGCGGAGCTCTTATTACGTCGGTAACTGAATTTATGTTCAAAGTGGTCACTACACTTTCCAGTTCCCATAGAGGTACAAGAGTCGGATAACGTCCCCAGCAACCTATGCTGGTCGTAAGAGATGACAAAATGAATAGCCTAAGGCGCTGCAATTCGCTGTGCAGAGTTGCGTCCCTTGGGCATGCCAGAAACCTATGATTGTGGGTTTGAATCCCGTTTCGCCCCGATTATGCTTCTAGGTTGGTCGGCACCATACCCATGCTCGTGGGTTTCACCGAAGTTGCAAACGTCTGACATGCATTTCGGGCTTACCCCCGAAATAAGAGGAAATTAGAAATGAGAAATTGCCATCAATACTAAGGTTAAGATCAATGAAGGCATTCCATTTGGCAGATTGCATGTCAATGTCTCTAGCTCATTGGACCCCATCTTTGTGGTCATGCTGTTTCAGGTGTTAAGACACACGCGAGGTTATGTTTCACTATAGGGTAAAAACAACTCATTGTAACATCTGTTATACAACTGTAATGTACTCATGGTGTGTGGAGTTGTGTGTTATTCATATCTTTTACATCAAGGCGTACGGTTTTCAGTTCAATTGCTCTGTGACATTGACAGTAAAGATGTGTAGCTATTTTCTTTAAAAAAATAGTTGGCCACATGTCATGTGGTTTGCATGGTTTGTTAAAGTCGCAGAACAAAGAGCCACATGTAGTTACCAGTAAGTCATCATTGTTAAGTACCAATAGTGCACTGACATAAGCTGTGAAATATTTTATCTTCTTTTGAACATAAATATAATTTCACTGACTCTTTTTATATTCTCCTGATTCCCTACATGGGTACAATGTGTGAAGCCCGCCGTGATATTATCTGGTAGATGTTTTTTTCGACATGTGATAGTGCATAGTCTCACTGACACTATGAATGAACACGATCCACAAACACTTTCCATGAACAGGATCCACGAACACGATCCATTGACACTATGAATGAACACGATCCACAAACACTATCCATGAACACGATCCATTGACACTATCAATGAACACCATCCACAAACACTATCCATGAACACGATCCATTGACACTATCAATGAACACTATCCATGAACAGGATCCATGAACACGATCCATTGACACTATGAATGAACACGATCCACAAACACTATCCATGAACACGATCCATTGACACTATCAATGAACACCATCCAAAAACACTATCCATGAACACGATCCATTGACACTATCAATGAACACTATCCATGAACACGATCCATTGACACTATCCCTGTACACTATCCATTAACACTATCCATTAACACTATCCATTAACACTATCCATGAACACTATCCATGAACACCATCCATTAACACTATCCATTGACACTATCCATGAACACCATCCATGAACACTATCCATTGACACTATCCATGAACACCATCCATGAACACCATCCATGAACACTATCCATGAACACTATCCATTGACACTATCCATGAACACCATCCATGAACCCCATCCATGAACACTATCCATGAACACTGTCCTTGAACACTCTCCATTGACACTATCAATGGACACCATCCACGAACACTATCCATTGATACTATCCATGAACACTATCAATTGACACTATCCATGAACACTGTCCATGAACACTATCAACTGACACTGTCCATGAACACTATCAATTGACACTATCCATGAACACTGTCCATTGACACTATCCATTGACACTATCCATGAACACTGTCCATGAACACTATCCATTGACACTATCCATGAACACTGTCCATGAACACTATCAATTGACACTATCCATGAACACTGTCCATGAACACTATCCATTGACACTATCCATGAACACTATCAATTGACACTATCCATGAACACGATCCATTAACACTATCCATTGACACTATCCATGAACACCATCCATGAACACCATCCATGAACACTATCCATGAACACTGTCCATGAACACTCTCCATTGACACTATCCATGAACACCACCCATGAACACTATCCATGAACACTCTCCATTGACACTATCCATGAACACCATCCACGAACACTATCCATTTATACTATCCATGAACACTATCAATTGACACTATCCATGAACACTGTCCATGAACACTATCAATTGACACTGTCCATGAACACTGTCCATGAACACTATCCATTGACACTATCCATGAACACTGTCCATGAACACTATCCATTGACACTATCCATGAACACTGTCCATGAACACTATCAATTGACACTATCCATGAACACTGTCCATGAACACTATCAATTGACACTATCCATGAACACTGTCCATGAACACTATCCATTGACACTATCCATGAACACTATCAATTGACACTATCCATTGACACTATCCATGAACACTATCCATTGACACTATCCATAAGAACACAACACCTGTGAGGAGTCACCAGCAAACTGTTCTTGTTAGAGGTGACTTACTGGAATGGATGGTTAGGCTTGTGACTTGGTTGACGGTGTGTCATACCCAGACAGGTGGATCGTTGCTCGTAATATCAATCACTGGATTGTCTGGTGCAGATTTTATTTTTTGCATGCTGCTTTTATATGGCTGCAATATTGCTGGGTGCAAGCACGCAAACAAAGCAAACACACCAAACAATAAGACAGTATTTGTGGAAGAAATACATTTGAGTACAGTAAACTACGGTTATAACGAACTCAAAGGGACTACTAATTTTAGTTCCTTATAACC